AAAACCGACTGTTTACTGTTTACTTTTTAGACATCAATTTATTCGTGATTTACATATTTTTTCGATATCGAGATCTATAGCTTCAACACACAGATCAACAGACTCGCATATAAACCCAAAGGTTCACCGCAGGGACCCATACATAGACTTACCACAGAGACCCATAGACTCACATCGAGGCGACCCACAGAGGAGATCCATCTTTTTTCTTGTTGCGTTGTTCTTTTTATTTCAAACTTCTTAACGATTCAAATGTAATTGTTTCAAACCACACAGATGAGCTCAAATGGACTGCTTTTTGTCGTGGGCTTCCCATGTTGCTGCAACATTCAGCCTTAACTTGTCTTGTGGTACAGCAATAGTGTAAAGGAGAGCCGACACAAGTTTACAGCGGGTTCGTCTCTTATTCCTTTCTCCAGTCCACACCTGTCCCCAGCCGTCTCAATCTCGTTCCCGCCAAGATTCCCCCGTTCCCGCCCATTCTCTCCATTATATCTCCTCGCTTGCTCCTCCCCCTTCCCCTGTCACCGTCCCACTCCCCCTCCTTTTGGTGAGAATCCTTCCCCTGACATCCCTTACATCAACCCCCCCCCCCCCCCCGGAAAAAAAGTCCTCGGTTCTGCCTACCCCATGGACCATTTAAGTTTCCCCATGAGCCTCCCCCCACTGACAGTGACGACTGCCCTTAACCCCCCCTCAAACATATACAATTCAATATAACACAACAACATCAATTAAACGGTCTGCCCGGGTCTCCAGCCAGAGCCGCGTAACAGCCCGGACATCCACAGGCTGCAGATCACCGCGGCGGCCCCCTCCGTTGGAGGCCCTCTCGTCGCGGTCTCTGGTTCGGTGGCGCCGGTATCGCCTTGTCTGATGCTGCCGTCTCTCCAGCCCCCGTGACCCCCGCTCGTGCCGCCTCTCCGTCAGGCCTCACATGGGGCGCTGTAGGTGACAAGGGAACACAGGGCACCAGACTCCCTGCCGGTCGGCGAGTGGTGGTCAGCGACCTTGGCCCGGGTCGGGGTGATGATGATGGCGATGACGATGGCGATGACGATGGCGATGACGATGGCAGTGATGATGGTAGAAATGCTGGTGGAGAGATGTATGGCTTAAGGCGGGTGGGGTGCACAAACCATCGTCGCTTAACCAGTTGGACATGGACGCACTGCGGTCGGAGTGCTTTAACGACCTTAACCGGCCCTTTCCAGGGTCGGTGCAGCTTCGGTGAGATGCCGACCAGCACCTGAGGACAGTGTAGCCGTACCTTGGTCCCCGAATTCAAAGGGCTTGGCTGTCACTGTCCTCTCCTGTATCTGTACATTGCTCCCTTGGCTAGTGGCCGATGCGGCCTCGGCTGCTTGGCGGGCCTCCCTCAAATAAATGAGGGAGGCCTTTAGTGCCTTTGGCCACACGTCAGCTCTCGCGGGAATGTCTGTCAGCTGCATCTCAATAGGCGGAATGGGATCCCGTCCGTACATCATGAAAAACGGCGAGAACGCCGTTGCCACGTGCGGGGCCACCCTGTACGCCGCTAATACCGATGGGATGTGGAGGTCCCAGTCGGAGTGGTTTTCGTCCACCACTTCAGACAGCATGGCCGCTATCGTGTGGTTAAGCCACTCCACCATCCCATCGGTCTGGGGATGACAACGGAGATGTTCGGACCTTTTTAGTGCCCAGGATAGAGAAAATATCCTTCAATAGCTGTGAGGAGAAATTCCTGCCTTGATCTGTGAGCTACCACTCCGGTGCCCCCTTAGCAAGAACATAGCCCCCCACAAAGGCATCGGCAATGGTCTGTGCCATTTGGTCCGGGAGGGCCCACGCCATCGGCCACCTTGTGCAGTACTCGATTCCAACCAACAGGTATTTATTTCCCTGTGGCGTGACCGGCAATGATCCCAGGATGTCCAACACAACCAATTCGTTGACCCTGGTCACCGTGATGGGCTGCAGGGGCGCCCCAGTTAGCCAGGGTGGTAGCTTCCGCCGTACACATTCGACGCAGGTAGCGACCCATCGGTGCACGTCAGCGGTCATGCCTGGCCAGAAGTACCGACCCTGTAATGTGGACAGTGTCTTCTGCCCCGCCAGATGTAGCAGCTGGCGGCAGTGCACTTCCATGACCAATTGTCGACGCAGCGACTCCGGAACCACCAGGCATCGCCGGCGTCCTGCCGGGTCCCATCGCATGAGGAAGTCGTCCCATACGATGTACTCCTCCCCCCGTGCCTCCGCTGAGGCGCGTAGCGCTAGCAGGGGGGCCCCCTCCAGCTGTAGATGTCTCCAATCGTCCAAGGTCAGCCCCAGGTCGTGGTCGGTCAGCTGGACCTCACCCTGTGCGCCCTCTGCCCTGTGTATGGGAGCGATGACCGTTCCCTCCGGCCTCGCCTCCTTGCAGCGTGCTGTGCCTGTGGTGCATGCACAAGGGCCCTGGGGCGCCAGCCGGGACAATGCGTCCGCGTTGGCGTGCCTGGTCCCCTTGCAATGCACCAGCTGGCCCGAAGGCTGGTTGATGCGGAGCGAATACTGCAAGGCCGCGTTTTCAGTGCGGACTGTAAATTTGCGACAATACAGGTAGGGTTGAAATTGCTGCACGAAGTGAACGACCTCCAAGAGTTCCCCTTGTGTGACGCAGTAGTGCTTCTCCGCTGATGAAAGCACGTGACTACTGTAGGCGATAACCACCTCCCGACCCTGCTGGATTTGTGACAAATCACTGCCAATGCCTACATCGCTGGCGTCCATGTCCAGAATAAAGGGGAGGCCAAAATCCGGAAAGGCCAATGGTGGTGCATCTGTCAGACGCGAGCACAGCTGCTGGAATGCCTCCTCCTCCAGAGGGCCCCAATAAAACCTCTGGTTATTCGCCGTCAAAATGTGCAAGAGCTTTGCAATGGTTGTGAAGTTGGGTACGAACCGGCTGTAGTAGGACACGAAGCCCACACACCTGCATACCTCTGGAACCGTCGTGGGAACAGCGCAGGCCTTCACGCAGGCCGTCTTTTCCGGGTTTGTAGCCACTCCAGACTCACTGACGACGTGGCCCAAGTAGCGTACCGACGACTGCATAAGGTGGCACTTCGACGGCTTGAGCTTTAAGTTCGCCTTCCGGAACCGCAGGAATACCTGACGTAATCGGCCAATGTGTTCATCGAATCATCGGCTGAAGACAATGACGTCGTCCAGGTAGAGGAGGCACGTTTCCCATTGGAGGCCTGCTAAGGCCAACTCTATTAAGCGTTGGAACGTCGCCGGTGCAGTCTGGAGGCCCATAGGCAGGCAGTTGAACTTGAACAGGCCCTGTGGTGTCCGGAACGCTGTTTTAGGCCGGGATTCCGCGTCTAGTGGGACCTGCCAGAACCCGGACAATAAATCCAGTGTACTGAAAAATTTTGCTCCTGCCAGTGCATCAAGTGAGTCGTCGATACGTGGTAGGGGATATGCGTTGGCAAGCATGACAGCATTGAGGCAGTGGAAGTCCATGCACAATCTCAGTGACCCGTCTGACTTCTTGACTAGGACCACCGGTGCCCCCCAGGGACTCGAGAATGGGGAAATTATGTCGGCCCGCAGCATCTCCTGCACCGCTAGTTGAATGTGCCCTCTTTCCATTGGGCTCATTCTATATGTGTTTTGGCGAAGGGGTGCGGCGTCTCCCGTGTTGATGCGGTGCTGCAATAGATTTGTGCATCCTATGTCGAACGGTCCCCGGCTGAACAGGTCCGAGAACTCCTGCAATAACGAGTGCAGCTGGTGCTTATGGTCGGGCGACAAATCCGGCTCAGGCCCCGCCAGCTGGTCCATCCATCAGTCGACTCCCCTGTCCTCGGACTGGCTGATGCTTCCCAAAAGCTCTGGCTCCATCCCGGGGGCTCCTAGTGACAAGGGACTGACGTGGTCCAGAACCGTTCCCGCCTGCACCGTCGCTGCTCTGTTGGAGGTGTTCAGCACCTGAATGAACAGACGCTGGTTCCCCTGGACAACAGTCTCGGCCCCCACCAGTGTGTGGCAATCTGTGGTGGCTGACACCGGAGAAACCAGGATGGGTGAGTCCGGCCGGGCTGTCACGAGGGAGGACCGATATCGCAGCGGAATCAGCATCTCGGCTGCCGGGGGAATGGAGACAGACTCAGTGACCAGAGCCTGCATGTAGGGTACCCCCCGGCCGGCCCCCTCCGCCTTTAGGAAATGGAGATGAGTTCCCTGGACTTCCACCCGCCCATTGGCCAGATCGATTTTCATAGGCATGCGCCTCAGAAAGTCCAAAAGCTGCCCAATCTGTATCGGGGCTTCAACCTGGCCCAGGAAGCCCATGCTCCCTCCATTTGCTGCAATAAACGTCGTCTTGACGGGAACTAAAGGCCGGTTTTTATCATCTCGTGCATGGTGCTCGAGATGGTCGTGGCCGATGCCCCCGTATCAACCAAGATGCGTGCCGACACTCCCCTGATTTCACCGACCAGGACCGAGGTTCCTGACGTGGCCGCTACCACCCGCCTTGCCAGCTTCCTCCATTGTGTGGCTGAGTCCGGCCACTGACCAGGCGGCGGCTCACTATCCTGCGGTGCGTGGCGAGATGACGGGGAATGGATGTGAACGGGCCGAAGACGGGGTTGCCCCCTTTGGAATATGTCGCAGCAGGGTGAATGCGCCCTTGTTACATGGTGTGGGCTCCCCCCTGGGGTGCGGGCTGGGCTCCCCATGTGGTGTGAATTGCCCCCCCCCTTTGTGACGTAGGATGTGCCCCCTTTGTGGTGTGGGGCGGCCCCCCTATTGTAGTGAGGGTTGGGGATTGGGGGGTGGGCCTTCCCGTGAGCCCATCTCTTCTCCCCGCCCCTTCCTTTGTTGCGGGGGCGTGGGCCCCCTTTATGGTGTGTCCTGCCTCGCTCCGCCGCATTGCGAGGGTGAGGCGGTGCGTGAAACTGCCTCAGCCCCGGGGCTGCTTCCCCTGGCGACTCGCTGGCGTCGCAGGTAAATAGTGACGTCACCCGCGGCCGCGACTTCATCCCCGGCTGCAACGTCACTTCCGGCTGTGAGGCCCCTTCCAGCAGTGACGTCACGTCTGTCCGCGACGTCACTTCCGACCGGGACTCGGATCGCAGGTCCCATCGCAATCCCCGGTCCTGGCGCGATCCCCGGCCCCGGCAGGGTCCCCAGCCCTGGTGCGATCCCTGACCCCAGCGCAATCCCCGGCGTGGTCCCCGGCTCCGGCGCGGTCCCCGGCACCGGTGCAATCCCCTTCCCCCGACAAGGACGGTGGAGCCCAGGGCCCGACACCGACGGTGCCCACCCTGAGGAGGCCCCCGGTGAGGTTGTGGCGTCAGGCGTGTCTATTTTCGGCCCGGCCGGTAGGCCGGGGCGGGACGGCGTCACTCGCCTAGTTCCTTTCGGTGTTCGGCCCCGGCGGGTTTCAGGTGGAGTTGCCCGCCTCCGGCTCCGTGCGGCACCCCCTCGCCACATGCCCCTCTCGACCACAATGGTGGCAGACCCACGGGGCGTTTCGTAGAGATGGCTCGGCGCGGTGTTGTAGAGGTGGCTGCTAGCGGCGTGGCGGCTGGTCGCGCCCCTGGTCTCTCTGCTCTGCCAGCCCCCGGATCGCCGCGTAGACCTCCAGCAGTGATGGCTCCATCTCAGATGCCGGAGGCCCGTTCCCAGCTGCCACGTAGGCAGCTTGCGGAGACGGTGCAGGTTTGGCGGTTGGCGTCGCCGGTCCCAGTAGCGCCGCAGTAACGGGCCGGCTGCTCCCCCCCGCCGCGCCAGCCACCTGGCCCACGGGTAGCGCCCGGCCCATGACCTGCGTTCCTCCGGCGTCACCACGGGCATCACAACGCCGGCTCGGCAAGCGTAGGCGATGACGTGCTCGAGGCGAGGGAAAGCCCTCCTCGCCAACACGAGCAGCGCACCCCTGTAGGCTAAAGGGGACTCTCTAGCCCCCCGCTGGCGGTCCTGGAACCGTCTAAAGGCGCCCTCAGCTGGACAGTAGATCTACCCCGAAGCCTCGTAGGCCGCCTGTTGCGTGGTCTTGCTGTGCGTGGGAAGGGAGGTTATAAGAGGCGAGCGCATCGTCGTCTAGAACGGATGGCAACGCTCGTAGCGGCCACGCGAGAGCGTGGAAGGCAGCCTTGAATCGACGGACGAACGCCTCATAATCACCTTCCTCGGCCACAAATTTTTCGACGGGCCCCAGCCGGCGCGCCCGTCCTGCCACCTGCTCCCCCCGTTGCGTGTTTAGCCCTGGTGGCTTTGGCGGGAGCGGCGGCGGCTGGCATGACGAGGTTGGTTGCGGCTCAGGCCCGGCTGGCTGGTCGGCCTCCGGGTCCCATGGCGCCTCCTCCCGTAGTGAATGTGTGAGAGGCCGCAGTAGCTTCTGGAGTGCCCTCTTCACGCGGGCCATGCGGTCCTCCATGCGGTCCGGGCCCCCTGCTGCTGTTCCTGGGAGCAGGCCCCCTTGTTGCCCTGTATGTGGAAGATCCCCGGCCCCTGCTTCCTCTTCTGTTGGCTCTCTTCCGCGGAGGTTCTTCCTTGTAGCCATTGTCGATTCCACCGCTGCCACCAGATGTAAAGGAGAGCCGACACAACGTTGCAGGGGGTTCGTCTTTTATGCCCTTCACCAGTCCACACTTGTCCCCCAGCTGTCCCAATCTCGTTCCCGCCAAGATTCCCCCGTTTCCGCCCATTCTCTCCCTTATATCCCCTCGCTTGCTCCTCCTCCTTCCCCTGTCGCTGTCCCACTCGCCCTCCTTTTGGTGGGAATCCTTCGCCTGACATCCCTTACAGTAGTAATGACAGCAACAGCGTAAACAACAAAAGCTGCATAAGCAGCACAAATATAAGTAATGGCAGTAACAGTAACAACAGCAGCAATAGCAACAACAGCAATAACAAAATCAACAACTGAAATAACAACAAGAACAGCAGTAAGAACAGCAGCAGCAACATTAACAACACTAGATTTGAAGCTTTCGTGACTGCAAGGATCCATACTCTTTGGTTCTATTCGGTAAAGTCACGTAGGTAAAAAATAAAACAAAAATCACGACGTTTCGGCCACAACACAAGCGGCCTTCATCAGGTGAAGGGACCAGACTGTCTCGAGGACAGCGCTGGAGTGAAACACAGCCAAGCTCAGACCGCGACCTTTAAGCTTAATCCCTCTCACACAGCTTAAAGGTCGCGGTCTGAGCTTGGCTGTGTTTCACTCCAGCGCTGTCCTCGAGACAGTCTGGTCCCTTCACCTGATGAAGACCGCTTGTGTTGTGGCCGAAACGTCGTGATTTTTGTTGTTTTATTTTTTTACCTACGTGACTTTACCGAATAGAACCAAAGAGTAACATTAACAACAGCCACAACACCTTGCGATGGTGACGCTGCTACTTCTGCTGCTTGCAGGGGGCCTTGCTCTTCGCGTGACTCCAACTGAGTGAGCCGTGCGGTTTGGTCAAGCAATGCCCCCCCCCCCCTCTTCCCTGGACAATGGGGGGGCCATACCCAGAATGTATCTTGGCCTGGATTGACAGACCAATTCTATCTCGTCTAAACATCGCCGATACTGTGGTGGGACTCACCAGCAGCCTCGGCCCAGCATCCAACGTCCAGAAGGGAATGCTGATCGGCCGACTGTGCTACGATCTGCTGTGGAAATGCCGACCCCTACCCGACCGTGTTCGCCAGTTGCTCTGCAGATTTAGTCAGTTCTTCCTCTGCCCTACATCCATGTAAGAACGCCTTAATTGCCATAATATTGCTGATATCGGGTATCGAGCCATACCTTGGACCAGGGCTCCTTAACGTTGAATTGATCAAAGTTGATCCAGGATCTGATCAATGATTGTGGACTCGACATATTGGCCGTTTCCAAAACCTGGATATATGACGACTCACGTACTCACCCACCCAACCACTCGATCACCCACCCAACCACTCGCTCACCCAATCATTCACCCACTCCGCCACTAACTCACCCACTCCGCCACTTACCTACCCACTTACCCAATTGTTCACCCACTCACCCACTAACTGACACACTCATACACTCACTCACCCACTCACTCACCTAATCACTCACTCGCTCATTTACTCACCCACTCAATCACCCATCCACAGTACACCACACTATACAACTTCCCCAAATTGTGGTTTAGTTTTTCCAGGAAATCACATGTTACTTATGCAACTCAGCACAATCTTAAATATATTTAATATAAATATAATTAAAATATTATAATCACGGGACATTTGAATTAAATATTTATATTATTCACCAAATGTACCAGGCCTATATATATAGCTATTGCAATCACAACCATAGAATAGTCCAGGAGTGGTTTCGACATTCAGTGTCTCATCAGCAGTAGAGTTGGGGAAATGGAGGTGATTTTGGTGCAAGCCAATATGTTACTAGCATTGGCGTCCATCTACCCAGGTAAGGTTAATAAAAACTCACCCACTCACTAACTCACCATCCACTCTCTCACTCACCCACTCAGCCACTCACTCACACACGCACTCACTCATTTACTCACCCACTCATTCATTCGCTCACCCACCCACATCCACCCACTAACCTGTCTTCTCACCCACTCATCCACTCACTCACCCATTACCCCACCCACTAATCCACTCACCACCCCCACTCACTCCCCCACTCACCACGCCCCTGGGGACCAGTGGTGGAGGCTCTGTATAAGGTAAGGAACCTCACCCACTCACTCACCTGCTTACTCACCACCCCCCCACTCACCACCCCCAGGGGGGCCAGTGGTGAGTTGTAGGTACAAGGTGAGGACTCTCACGAGCGCCTGGATGGGTGCTGGGACCGGTGCTGAGATCAGCGTGAAGATTAGAGGAGCGTGCGACACCCTAAGTGCCACTCTCTCCTCATCTACCACAGGACTCACCCCCTTCCTATACGGACAGGTACCACGTGTCACTCCGTGAGTGAGTCGGCGATTGAGTTTGTGAGTCCGTGTGATTGAGTGCGAGTCCTTGTGTTAGTTAGTCCGTGAGTCTGTGAGTGAGTCCGTGAGTGAGACTGTGAACCCGTGTGTATGAATGTGAGTCCGTGAATCCATGAGTCTTTGTGTGTGAGTCTCTATGTGAGTGAGTCTGTGAGCCTGTGCGTGAGTCTGTGTGAGTCCGTGAGTGGGTCTGTGTGTGAGGCGGAGTGGTGAACCAGCGGTTAGCATGCTGCGCTACGATCCCGGCAACCGAAGTTCGAGTCCCTCTCACGACCAACAACACCAGTGATGGTTATCTGAACCGGCCTGCCTAGGTAGACTCAGACTCAAATGGGTACCTGGTGTGGTGTATCGTAAATATCGCCACTGGGGAGATGAAGGCGATCAGACACGGTGCTGACCACCTCACCCCCTCGCGCGTTGTTCCCGGCCTTCATAGGCGCTACTCGCTAACATCACTTACCCCAACAGTCTGTTAAGGCTACATAGGGCAGCTTAGTCTTTTGTGGTGGTATATGTTTGTAGGCGTTCTGAGACTACTGTGGCTCGGGTGGAGGCAAGGCCATGACTAGGCCTCAGGCTTTGTATAGATCTATGGGCGCTGGTGTATAGGTCTCTGTGAGTATGATTTATGGGTCTCTAAGTATGGGACTCTATGGGTATCTGTGGGACTCTGGGTTTCTGTGGGTCGCTATGGCTCTGTAGGTCTATGGGTCTCTATGAGTATGGGTTTCTATGGGGCCCTATTGGTCTATGGGTCTCTGTCGGTCTATGGGTCTCTGGGGGTCTATGGGTCTCTTATGAGAAGCGGTTTGTAAGGGTCTCTGTGGGTTTCTGTGAGTATGGGTTTATGTAGGTCTATGGATCTCTGAGAGAATGGGTCTCAGTCGGTCTCTGTGAGTGTAGAAACATGTGTTTAGATTATTTGGCTGCTATACATTCCCACACGATGATGCCACTTGGTTGAGCTTGCATTTGTGATAGCCAGGTCGCTTTTGAAAAACATCTATATAGCTCAATGGGCCTTTCCTGGAAAAAAAAATTTCGGATATATATAATTATTGCAGTTGCAATTCTTAATCAATTATATTTCATTTAACTTGTGTGTATGAAAAAAAGTCAAATTTAAATCTCATTTTAGTATTTGTAAGTTGTGTAGATTAACCACTCACTCACCCACCCATCCACTCACACCCACGCACTCATTCACCCACCCGTATTCGCCCTCTCCTACTCAGACAGACGAGTTCCACGTGACTGGTGACCACGTGGGGCCTCTCTTTGACGTCACAGTTTGGCACGACGGCTCTGGGTATTACTCAGCATGGCACCTCGAACGGGTGGAGGTTGACGAATCTCCTGGAGTCACCGTTGAGTTCCCGTGCAATTGCTGGGTCTATGGCAACACCCCCATCACGTTGAAGCCCCAGGTGAGGTGTGGCGAGCTTGTGGGTGAGCAGGTGGCTGGAGTGGGTGGATGGGTGAGTAGGCGTGCAGGAGGAGCTGTAGCTTGGCTCACTGAGTCTCCCACCCACTCACCCACCCATCAACCCACCAACCCACTCACCCACTCACTCACCCACCCATCAACCCACCAACCCACTCAACTACCCACCCACTCACCAACCCACTTACCCACTCACTCAGCCACTCAACCACCCGCTCACTCACTCAGCCACTCAACCACCCACCCATTCATCCACACACTCACCCACCCACTCGTCCACTCACCCACTCACCTCTCTCCTACCACTAGGTACCGCAGGGGACAATTGGCTGCCTGCGAACGACAACTCTGGGGTGCGGTGAGCCTCTTCCAAACCGTTCACTTGTATCCATCACCCTGGCTTGGCTCACTCACTCACTCATCCATCCACCCACCACATCGTGATTGAGTGAGTGGGTGAGTAAGTGGGTGGGTGAGTGGGTGAGTGTGTTTGTATGTATGTTGAACTTCTTTCGCACCATACGAGGCGAACCTTGCTAATCGGAGTGAGTTGGTGACTGTGTGTGTCGGTGAGTGGGTTAATGTGTGTATATGTATGAGTGGGTGAGTGTATATATATATGAGTGGGTGAATGTGTGTATATATATGAGTGGGTGAGTGTGTATATATGAGTGGGTGGGTGTATGTATATATATGAGTGGGTGAATGTGTATATAAATGAGTGTGTGGGTGTGTGTATATATGAGTGGGTGAATGTGTGTATATATATGAGTGGGTGAATGTGTGTGTATATATGAGTGGGTGTGTGTGTATATGTGTGTGTGTATGTATATATATACCCCCTACCTCCTCGCGGTGCCGGACGGGCAACTCTGTCGCGGACAGCGCTGTGGGGGGAGATCCAATTTTGATTGGCTCCTCCCCTCATGGCATATGTGTCCACCACAGGGGCTAAACGGGGGCTCTGGACGGGTGTGAGGGGCTGGTAACCCCTCCACCTTCAATTAATTACCACGAAACCACGAATTAAACTGAAATATGGAACAACTAAGCTTGTGCCGGAGGCCCCGGGGGGCCAGGCGTCTATGACGTCTCCTGGCCAAACCCCAATTGGCGGAGCCAGGAGATTGAATACCTACCCTCGGGGCTACTCCAGAAACAACGAAAAGCCACTACGGGTGGCCATGTGGAATGTTCGAACGCTCACTGCAGAGGAGAGGCTGCCACTCCTCTGTCGGGAGCTGGACCGGTACCGCCTGGATCTATGCGGCATTCAGGAGGTCCGGTGGACCGGCTCTGGCTCCTGCCACCATGAGGGGTGGACAGTCCTCTACTCGGGGCAGCAGACTGCCAAACAACAGGGTGTGGGTCTTCTTTTGAACAAAAGAATGAAGGGGGCGTGGGAGCGTGGCGGTGAGGTGTGGGAAGCTGTAAGCCCCAGGCTACTTTGGGCTCGCCTTCCCATCAACCGGAGGCGAGGAATGGTGGTCGTGGTTACTTATGCCCCCACCAAAGATGAACATCCGTGGAGGGATGCAGGCAAAGCCGATGAGTCAGATGCCTTCTATGACCTCCTGTCACAGGTGCTGGCTAAAGTGGCCCCTCGGGATAGAGTCATCATGTTGGGTGACTTCAATGCCCGAGTTGGTCATGATACTGGCACCTGGTCTGGAGTGATTGGAGGGCATGGGCCAGATCAGCTCAATAACAACGGTAGGAGGCTGCTAGATTTTTGTGCAGCCCATGGGCTTGTAATTACCAACACGCTGTTCCGGCATCGGCGCATCCACACAACATCATGGATGCATGCCGGGTCCAAGCGGGAACATCTGCTGGACTACATAGTGACGGACCAGCGAATGCGAGCCCATGTCCTTGACACCAGGACCTACCGTGGAGCTGATCTGCCCTCTGACCATCGACTAGTCATCTGTAAGATGCGCCTGCCATTCTTCCACTCCGGTGGTGGGTGTACACCCAGGACCCCATTCCAACCTAAAGTGGCCTGGTCTCAGTTATCTGATGAAAGTTGCAAGCGAGAATTTCATCATCGCTTGCGGCTGGGATTGGCATCGTCCCCGACTCCTCCTGATGTCGAGGGTAAATGGGCGAGGTTTAGGACTGTGACTCATGCAGCTGCAATGGCTGCTTTGGGTACGCGGTCCAGACCTCCCCAGACACCCTGGATGACAGAGGAGTTGTTCAGGATGGTTGAGAAAAAGCGACAGGCCCACTGTCATCGGCTACAGAATCCCACGTCAGAGAATGAGGAGGCTTACCGCAGCCTTCGCTCAGAGGTTCGGAGAGCCGTGAGGCGCTGCAAGGATGGGTGGTGGTCGCGGGTTGCTGAGGAGATGGAGTCTGCCTCAGTGGCCCGTGATCACAAATCTCTATTTAACTCCATCAAAAAAGTAACCTGCAGCGCCACACCTATTACCATCATTAGGGGAAAAAACGGTGATCCAATTTCCGACCCCCAGGAACAGGTTCGCAGATTTGCTGAGCATTTCTGTGAGGTCCTGGGGGAGGGAAAATCCCTCAGCCAGGAAAACATCGTGGCACAAAGTGAGGATGACCCTGCTGAGGCTGCAGTGCCTCAAATATTGGATGAAGTCACCCCCTGTGAGTGGCTGGCTGAGGTGCCATCTGCTGAGGAAGTATTGAGGGCGATCCGGAGTCTGAGACCAGGAAAGGCAGCGGGCAGAGATGATCTCCCAAGCGAAATGCTGAGGGAGGGTGGCGTTTGTGCACAGACTGCCCTATATGACATCATAACAACAGTCTGGACCACTGGACGGGTTCCGCAGGATTGGAAGGATGCCCTGGTGGTCCCCCTTTTTAAGAAGGGGGACCGCACAGACTGTAACAACTACAGGGGCATCTCACTCCTCAGTGTGCCGGGAAAGGTCCTGGCAAGGATTATTCAGCATCGCCTTGCCAGGCACGCTGAGGAGAGGCTTGCGGAGCCCCAATGCGGTTTCAGGAAAGGGCGGTCCTGCACAGATGCCATATTTTCTGTCCGTCTGCTACAGCAGAGGTGTAGGGAATTCCAACAAGACCTACATCTCTGCTTTATTGACCTGGTCAAGGCCTATGATACCATCAGTAGGCCTGGGCTCTGGGTCGTTCTTCGTGCTTTTGGAGTACCTGACCCTCTGCTCACGATCATTAAGGACCTTCATGATGGTGAGCGGGCCCGGGTAAAACTACGTGGCCGGGAGTCAGAGCCATTCCCTATACACCTTGGGGTGCGACAGGGATGTCCTCTGGCTCCCACATTATTTAACATCTATTTTGACCACGTAGTTCGTGAAGCCTTCAATAGCTGTACCGGGGGAATCTCCATATGGTACAGATATAATGGGAGGCTAATCGATGCCCGGGTGCGGTCAAGGGATGGCTCCCTATTGCTCAACCACGTTATGTATGCTGATGATTTGGTAATAGCTGCTCAGTCAGAGGAGGAGTTGGAGACGCTGCTGCTGAGACTGGAGCGTGCCACTAAGAGGTGGGGCCTTACCATCAGCCCCACCAAAACTAAGCACCTGCCTGGGTGTTTTGTACCATCGGACACTCCACCCCCACAACTCCCAATCGGTGATGGGGCAGTTGTGGAGAGAGTGGAGAGTTTCCCATACCTGGGCAGTGTGCTTATGACTGGCTCCAGTTTAACAGCAGAGGTCTCACTCCGAATCAGTCGAGCGGCAATATCTTTTCATCGGTTGCGTAACGCTGTGTGGAAGCTACCTGGTCTGTCGCTCCGCACTAAGCTTCAGGTCTTCTCGGCCACGGTCATTCCCTCCCTTCTCTACGCTTGCGAAACGTGGACCCCCCTAATGGAACATCTTCGCCGGTTAGAAACATTTAGGCTGGCCTGCCTACGATCCATCCTGGGTTTAACCAGACTGGATTGTGTGAGGAGCTCACAAATCCTTGAAAGATCTGGGCAGGGTCCCATCGGTGAGCTCCTCCGGCAGGCAAGGCTGCGATGGCTGGGTCATGTAGCCCGCATGCCCAGCCACCGCATGCCGAAACAGCTTTTGTTTGGCCGGATTGAGGGGGCTAAGCGGGCGCGGCACGGGCTAGAGAAGAGATGGAGTGATGTGGTACAGGAGGACGTGGAGCTGAGTGGACTTGCCGATGACTGGTACCAGCGGTGTCAAGATCGGCCTCTGTGGAGGAGGCTCGTGAAGGATGCTACTGGGCAGTTGGAGGCAGTCGCCCTCCAACAACAACGGAGGGCGGAGGAGCGACGCTCACAACAGCGAGCGGAGCGCCGGGTGGCTAAAGCACAGCAGGTTGGCACAGTAGGGGGCACAGGTGGTGCATCAGCCAAGCATCTCAGTCAGTCGACCCGTGGCACCTGGGTCTGCCCCGTGACCTCCTGCCAGCGGGCGTTCGACACTTCACGTGGCCTCAGGGTGCACATAGCCTGGCACAAGCGTCGTGGTGACGTCACCGCCACTTAGTGGCGAATGGCGGTTGTTGTTGTTGTTGTATGTATATGTGTGTGTGTATATATATGAGTGTGTGAATGTATGTATGTAAGTGGTCATTCCCTCCCTCTCTACGCTTGCGAAACGTGGACCCCCCTAATGGAACATCTTCGCCAGTTAGAAACATTTAGGCTAGCCTGCCTACGATCCATCCTGTGTTTAACCAGGCTGGATTGTGTGAGGAGCTCACAAATCCTTGAAATATCTGGGCAAGGTCCCATCGGTGAGCTCCTCCGGCAGCCAAGGGTGCGTTGGCTGGGTCATGTAGCCCGCATGCCCAGCCACCGCATGCCAAAACAGCTTTTGTTCGGCCGGATCGAGGGGGCTAAACGGGCGCGGCACGGGCTAGAGAAGAGATGGAGTGATGTGGTACAAGAGGACGTGGAGCTGAGTGGATTTGCCGATGACTGGTACCAGCGGTGTCAAGATCGGCCTCTGTGGAGGAGGCTCGTAAAGGACGCTACTGGGCAGTTGGAGGCAGTCGCCCTCCAACAACAATGGAGGGCGGAGGAGCGACGCTCACAACAACGAGCGGAGAGCCGGGTGGCTAAAGCACAGTAGGTTGGCACAGTAGGGGGCAATGGTGGTGCATCAGCCAGTCATCTCATCTCTGTCATCTTTGTCAGTCGACCCGTGGCAATTGGGTCTGCCCCGTGACCTCCTGCCAGCGGGCGTTCGACACTTCACGTGGCCTCAAGGTGCACATGGCCTGGCACAAGCGTCGTGGTGACGTCACCGCCACTTAGTGGCGAATGACGGTTGTTGTTGTATATGAGTGGGTGAATGTGTGTATATATATGAGTGGGTGAATGTGTATATATATATGAGTTGGTGTGTGTATGTATGTATATATGAGTGGGTGTATATATATGAGTGGGTAAATGTGCGTATTATATGAGTGAGTGTGTGTATTATATGAGTGGGTGTGTGTATGTATGCAACTATTTTGAACTTCTTTGGCGTTGTATGTAGTCAACCACGCTAATCAGAGGTGCGTGAGAAGGACAAAATGTAAACACAACAAGCAGTTCTAAAGAAATGAGTTTTCAATCTGCACGATTTAAAGTGGATAACTCCAGTGGTGTCCTGATATGAAAAGGAAGAGCATTCCAGACGGCTGCAAAATCAATTCTGAAAGCACGCGATACAATTATCGTCTTTGTTCTGTTAGCCAAAAGCTACTGCAATGATGAGTTTGCATGATGGTTTATGCTCCTTGATGAGATCAGCAAGTTATTGTGGTCAATTTGTGACAAACATTTTCTGTGTAATGAGTGTGACCTTATAATGTATTCGTTCGTTCATCAACTGGAAGCCAATGCAGCTCGGCGAGCACTGGATGGACAGAGTCGGATCATGCAACACGTGCCAGCGAATTTTGTAGACGCTGCAGCTTGGGAATGCTTTTTTTCCAGACGTCCCATAGTTAGTTGCAATAATCAAGCCTTGTCGATACTACACTACACGCCACCGTATTGGCTATTTTACAGCTCAAAAGTGGTTGAATGTGTCTTAGAGCCCTGAAATGAAAATTGCAGCACCTGACTAGATATTTCACCTGGTGATCAGATGGCATATTCTGGTTAAGTATGGTGCCGATGCTCAAGATGAGTAGTAAACTGAATCCTGGAGTCTGCAACCACCACACCTGTTCCTTCCACAAAGCAACCAACAGGACCTCCGATTTTTCTGGATTAAGTAACATTTCGCTTCGTGCAAACCACACGTGCACCACTCACGTGCAATCTTTGAGGTACCGAGTCTCTCCATATCTAACTTTCCCTTGACCGCAGCGTACACTTGTGTATCATCAGCATATTGATAGGATGACATTGGTGATGGGAGTGACGTATTTTTAAAATAGGAAGGGCCTGATGACGGACCCCTGTGGTACGCCAGCTAGACATGGCAATGAGTGTTCGTCGCCCAGCTTGACGAACTGTGATCGACCATGTAGGTATGACTGAATCCACTCCATGTGCAGAACCCCATACACTGAACCTTGACCTTAGTTGCCCAATATGTATCTCATGGTCGATATTGTCGAAGGCATCTGAGAGATCGAAGCCAACCAACACTGCAGCACACCGGTCATCCATGATCTTGTAGAGGTCTTCAGTGATTTTTGGTAGAGCTGTCGTAGTGCTGTGGGACTTCCGGTACGCCAACTTCAATATGCTGAATCTGCCCGTTGTAGCGATGTGGAGAAGAAACCGCCTCAGACACAGGTGCTTCATGACCTTTGAAATCATACTCAGGTTTGAGATTGGACGATAGTCTCCAGGGTCACTATCGCTCAAACCAATTATTTTCAGGAGTGGTGTCTGGGAAACAAAGTATTTGCCAGTTGGACAATCAGTGGCGCAAGTGCATCTGAGCATGATTTGAGAATCAATGTGTGGATGTAGTCGAGCGGCGATGTTTTATTTGGCAGCCGTGGGGTGAGCATCGACACCTCTACCACCGATATTAGTGCCAGGGTCTCGAGTTTTGCATCAATTCCATGTTGACAGAACTCAGATGGCAGACCGGCAGAATCCGTTTCCTTCAAGTTGAAAACTGCCGTCTTAATCGTTACTATTTTATTGGCAATGAACGTCGCAAGTGCTGTGCACAGACCGGCTTGACTAGCTGATGGGTGGTTGGAGTGCAGCTGGACCCTTCACGACGCACCAGAGCAAGGAATGTACGAGCCGAATGATTGATGCGCAGAGCCATAGAACAATCTGCGAGACTCAATAACAAGTTGTTTGGCAGATCTGCAGGCGACTCCGTAAGTGTGTATATATGAGTGGGTGACTGAGTGGGTGACTTAGTGGATGTGTGGGTGAGTGTGTGTGTATATATGAGTGGTTAAGTGGGTAACTGAGTGGGTAATATATGAGTAGGTGAGTGTGTGTATATATAAGTGGGTGAGAGATTGAGTGAGTTGATGAGTGAATTAGTGAGTGAGTGTGTACAGCTGCTGCTGCTGCTACTACTCGCTACTCACAGCACTTGCCCCACCAGCCTATGAGAGGCTACTTAGGAGCGAAGGGAACCTTTTTATTGTTTTTATTTCAACTCAGCTCGAGCCCGGCACACAGCACCCATCACAGAACAAGGAGGAGGTGTGGGGCGTAAATCCTGCAAGCAAAAGTCCCGAGATCGACGGCATGGCAGGGTTTGGTGAAGAGGGGTGGGTTGGGTACACCGCATATTAAGCTCTGTAAAAACCGGGACCATTGGGCTTCGAACTCCCCGCTCTCTGTATTGAAGCTCGTGGCTTAAGTGTCCAATGTATGGAAGGGCGAGGAGGGAGCTATGCCACTGCTTCCACGAGGGGACAGTTCGTGGCCTTTCCAAATTGGTCAAAATAATCAGGCATGCGCCGATGTTTTGACAGAACCACAGGTGTCAGGCCCCGCAGCGTGGTTTCGACTGAAGGGGAGAGATCGGTGCCACAGCGAGGGCGACCTTTAACCTTTACCTATGTCACGTGTGTCCCCTCCCCCCACACCCCTCCCCCCGCTACCCCCACTTCACAGGACAAGCCCCCCACAATCCCCGGAGTCAGCCACCCACAACCCACGCAATCAGCCGCCCACAATCCGCGAAGCTAGCCCCCCACAATCCACGAAGTTAGCCCCCCACAATCCAAGGGGTCAGCCCTCCAAAATCCACAGGGCCAACCCCCACTGCACTGTGCCAGTGATGGCATTAGCCCTGGCGAGCAGCGTGTGCATCTGCCTGGCCTCGCTCACCGCACTGCTCACCGCACTGCTCACCGTACGACCGCGGCGAGCGCCCCGAATCACTCCTCACCTGCTCACCACTTACTCACCACCTACTCATTAATTGATATACTCGCTCACTCAACTACCCACTCACTCACGTACCCACTCACTCACCTACCCACTCGTTCACTCATTAATATTCGCATCCACCCACTGACCTACTCACCCGCTCACTCATCCAATCATTAATTTACTCACTGACACACCCACTCACTCACGCACTAACCCACCCACTCACCCACCCAGCTATCCACTGACCCACTTACTCACCCATCCAACCACTTACCAACCCACTCACAGTACTTGCCCGTACAGCCTGCTAGAGGCTACCCAGGGCATCTTTGTCTGTGTGCTGCTACTTGCTACTCACAGCACTTGCCCCTACAGCCCTACGATAGGCTACATAGGGCAGCTTTGTCTGTGTGCTGCTACTATCTACTCAAAACACCTGCCCCTACAACCCTACTAGAGGCCACCAACTCACTCACCTACTCATTAACCCATCCACTCACCCACTGATTGTTAACAGTTCGCTAGATTTCACGCACAATTTGGGATCAAAAGCAGTCAATTTTGCTTCCCCAAAGTGATTGGAACACCTACGATGTTCCCTCTCTTGACATCTCCATCATTCTGTAATCTAAACTCAAACAAACTATAAACTTTGTTTATTTTACCAGGTAAGACCCACTGAGCTATGTAGCTCTAGTTCAGTGAACTGGTTATCATAAATGATAGCTCTACGAAGTGGCTATCATCGTGTGCGAATGTGTAGTGAGTTCAACTGCGTCGAAGACGTACTCTTTGAAGGTGTAGTGTTGTAAGGACGAGCCGACTTTTTAGGAGGCACACTGTTTATTGTATTATTTCCTTATACAATGCTTAACACACACAGAGGGATATAGGGTCCCCTCACCCGATACCCTAGGGAGGTACAGCCTCCGAACTTGGCGGGACTCACACGTCTACCGCTAACCTCCTTGATACCTAAGGAGGTACAGCCTCCGGACTTGGCGGGACTCACACGTCTACCGCTATCCTAGTCCTCCGGCTAGGACCTAGGGGAGGCTATCTGACCCACCGCTGGCCTGGTGGGTCCTGACCACTGGGTATGCCGAGCCTTAGCCCTTAGAAGGTCTGGAAGTCTGGTCCAGGGTCCTGGCTAGGCTTCAGCCCAGTCCTCTGTCTTCGTGCAGGGAGAGAACTCCCCGAGGTCCGTTGGGTCACCCATCTTATACTCCTTCGTGGCCAGGTAGAACCAATCACACATTCCCACGTGGAACCGTCTGGTTGGTTCGTACCAACCCTGGCTACGATCCGTTTCACCTCGACTGACCCCAACCGTTGTACCCAGGGGTAATGCTGCACTGCCCTGGTGGCAATGCAGGTTACGCAACAGCGCGTAGTTAACACCTCTACAAAGGCAACACATTTATTTAACACCAACACATGGGGTAACTGCCCCTTAACAGAATAACAACCTATGGTGGTGACCACCAGGCTAACTGCACTAGTTACCACGTGACTGGTGTAGTTAACCAGGTGGTGACCACCAGGCTAACTACACTAGTTACCACGTGACTGGTGTAGTTAACCAGGTGGTGACCACCAGGCTAACTACACTAGTTACCACGTGACTGGTGTAGTTATCCAGGCAGTGACCACCAGGCTAACTACACTAGTTACCACGTGACTGGTGTAGCTAGCCTGGTGGTGACCACCAGGCTAACTACACTAGTTACCACGTGACTAGTGTAGCTAGCCTGGTAGTGACCACCAGGCTAACTACACTAGTTACCACGTGACTGGTGTAGTTAGTCTGGTGGTAACCACCAGGCTAGCTACACTAGTTACCACGTGACTGGTGTAGTTAACCAGGTGGTGACCACCAGGCTAACTACACTAGTTACCACGTGACTAACTACTATGGACCGGATCACAGCTTGGTTCCAGGTCCTCGTGTTGGAGACTCTGTAGGACGTAGAACGTAGAGGAAGGTTTCTTCAGGATGAACAACACCAGCCAGCCCCTCAGGGGGACCCGGTTTATATCATCTGTGGTGGGGCCGGCTTCGCCCCTGGCCACGACCACCTTCCAGAACCCTCCAGCAGGATCTCGCCCCGTACCACGTGACCACCACCCAGCCCCCAAATTGGACCCCTCTGTAGACTTGACCGGTCACGTGTCCTCTTGAGTCAACCAGAGTGCACGGCCTCCAGTAACCCCTTCCCTATGGCCAGCACTCGCACACCTGATCCTCTAGGGCTGGCATTGCACGCCAAGCGTGATGGCATCCAGCGCTGTCAATCAGCGCTGACCGAGCCCCTCTAGGGCCGGTACTGCACCCACATCATAGTGGTGTCTGCGATGTCAAGACACCACACGCCGTGCCTCTCTAGGGCTGGCGTACACAGTGACATCCTGTGATGTCACTACAAATGTATAGCAGGCAAATTCCGTAATCGCTCTCCTTTCTATCCGTTAGTTCTGAATTCGTGAGTTTCTTACATTCCAGAGCTACTACACGGTACAGTATACTAATTCGCCGGACTCCAGTATTCGCGAGTGTACGTAGTGCCAGACCAGAATGTTATATTGTAAACTGGCTGCGGAGATTCGGCACAGCCCCCTCGGCTGCCCGCTTTGTCATCAGTCTCACAGTAATCCCGCTCTCAACTCGCTTATTGTGCACTAGTTCGAACACGTAAAATCAATACCGAATCGCCTCGTTCTGCAGATCGATTCCAACGTAATCGAACGTCCGTCCGTGTGCCGCCGCCGTCGTTCAAACCTACGCGCCCCAGCATGATAACGACGGGAAGTGCAGCGTTCATCACAGATATAGTGTATATGCAGATTGTTACTTTACACGTTCTTACGACAGTCGACTCGTTTAGACGCTTTGGTATAAACGAGTCGACTGCGAGGTCCATCATTAAGAGCGTGAATGCTCTCGGGGAAAGTGTCGCGGCGAGCGCTCCCCACAGTGCCTGAATGATAACAGCTGTGCGGCATTGTTATCAAGCGCCTGCATCTCCTGAGGAGTTGTCCTTCTGAATTCCTCACCATCGCCAATACCTCCATAGTCAAATCATCATCATCACAGCTAATTAAAACATTGTTGCGAACAATGTATTATTTATTGTAGTCGATGTTATTAAACGTTTACCATTTCCCCCCTATGTTCACTCATACCAGGAACATAACCAATTTTTTACCATTAGGTTTCTGCATTTGCGAATTCTGTATTCGCGAGCGTTTTCAAGAACTTTGCCCTCACGGATAGAGAGGGTTTACTGTGTTCGAAATTCGTGACGTCGATTCTAAGTGTGGAGGGAAAAATCGGAGGACCCAGTGAAAGATCCACTCGACCACCACGGGGACAGAGATAGAGACAACATGCAACTCCAAATATACAACAGGTGTCGTCAGGGTCGGGATCGAACCCATGGTCCTCCTGTATACCAGGCAAGGGAGATATGTTGTATATATGCCTTTAAAAAATATATATATTATGTATGATATTGTCTCTTTTTACTGTCATGGCTCCAGGGAGACAAATATGGGTCCGATGCATGCCGAAAATCGGAAAAACCAGATGATGAAGCCAAACCAGCACTAGAATGAGCAGCAGGTAAACAGAATACAAGAGACATCGATCAGATGTGCATGATGAGAATAACCAGAGCTGAGGAGGACCTTGAAGCTGAAGTACATTTGCTTCCCCAGAAATTAACCTCACTCATGTAGCAAAGGAGGAACACGTTCATGACAGGCAATAAAGGAATGACCCTTGCAAGGGCAAGGAGTGACCCAGGGGATTTATGAGAGAGCAAATACAGGGCAAAGAGACAAGAATGTCCCTTGCTATTCACTCTCTGAATTAACAAACCCCGGTGCCTGGAAAGTTGAAACGTTCAAATGCCAACCACTGCATATGAATATTCTTAAACATTGCAATAGTAAACGTTAACTTTTGTGATAGGATATATTCTTACATGACTATACAGCACATAGTCAGGGGTTTTGAATACGGCGAGTTGCATGTTTCATTAACATCCATATGTAGTGGGTCCAACTGAGTCGCAGACGTTGTTCCTTTGAGAGGCAACACATTTATTGTAACACCGTAATCCAGACTACACCCTACACGGAGGAGTTACAGCTACGAAGGGTCGAACCTCACTCGGGTCTCTGACCACGTGGTTGCTTCGTAAGACGAAGAGCTTCAGCTTGAGACGTAGGGCTTCCCGTTGTAGATGTTGAGCTTCCAGTTTGTAGGTGTTGAGCTTCCAGCTTGTAGATGTTGAGCTTCCAGCTTGTAGATGTTGAGCTTCCAGCTTGTAGATGTTGAGCTTCCCGCTGTCGATGTTGAGCTTCCAGCTTGTAGACTTTGAGCTTCCAGCTTGTAGATGTTGAGCTTCCAGCTTGTAGACGTTGAGCTTCCAGCTTGTAGGTGTTGAGCTTCCAGCTTGTAGACTTTGAGCTTCCAGCTTGTAGATGTTGAGCTTCCAGCTTGTAGATGTTGAGCTTCCCGCTGTAGATGTTGAGCTTCCAGCTTGTAGATGTTGAGCTTCCAGCTTGTAGACCTTGAGCTTCCAGCTTGTAGATGTTGAGCTTCCAGCTTGTAGGTGTTGAGCTTCCAGCTTGTAGAATGTAGCGACCCCGGTCCCTCTCAGGGACCCACCTTATATCCCCCTACGGTCGGGGCCGCTCCGCCCTCGGCCCCGCCCGCCTTCTCGAGCGTTCTAGCTCCCTCTCGATTCCCCTAAAGAGCGCCCCCCGGACACGTGATCACCCACTAGCCCCCCCCACCTGGGCCCCCTGTGTGGACACTATGGATCACGTGTCTACAGGGTCAACGATGTAGGAACATCGAACGGCACGGCCCCTCCGGCCCTGCACCGTACAGTGACATCCCTCATGTCACTACACATACATGAGTGCCATGCCAACTGGGTGAAACATATAAACTTGATAACGAATTATGGACGTTTTGTATTGAAGTATTGAACCAAAGGAAAATATACAAAATACGAATTATCTAAATTCTACATGACCAAAATAATATGTATTCCAGGGGTATAACCAGAGCATGCCCGACCGCCTGTCTTCCCTGTGGCTGTCATTACATCCTGCAGCAGAAATTAAGGATAAGTCGACCTAAAGAGGGCGGAAGGCCGTTTCACAATAAACAAGGCAACAGACACACACCACACCTAGGGGCGATGAAGTGGGTGTGTGCCCACACAAG